AATAATAATAATAATAATAATAATAATAATAATAATAATAATAATAATAATAATATAAATATTAGGAATAATAATAAAAATATTAATAAAAATAATATTAATATTATTTATTATATTTATAAGCCGAATGAGCCGGTAGAAAGGCTCTAATTTTACATATATGTAATTCAAACATTTAATAAATAAATAATAATTATTACATGACGGAGTTTATTCGAAGCAATTTCGTAATTCCCTGATCCCTGAAAAATATAAAAATTAAAATTATTAATGAACCAATATTTTTTGTTAAATAAAAAATTATTCAGATTAGTTTTATGTTTGCTAAAATTAAAATAAAATTATTTTATATATTTATATTTTATACATATTTTAATATAACTTCATCTGAGCTAGTATGTCTATGTTAGTTATAGATTCATATGTCAGTTTATATTTAAAGAATTCTTCATATATAATTTCTAAGTGGAACAAGTTAATATGTATATGAGAGTCATATAAATACACTGATGCAGTATTCGCAGTCTAAATGCTGCCTATAAGAAAAGTAAGACATCCACTCGAGATATATACATACATATTCATATATGAGCCCATTCATATAAAGGAAGCTCTATAAATGGTTAAGCAAGATTTATGCCTTCAATAAGCTGCTTAGATTTCATCCATGCCGTAATACCCATGACTAGAGCATAGTTCCCGACTAGGACAGGTTAGTGCAGCTAAAGAAGACACCTAAGAGGGAGGGGCGGGGTGGCGCCGGCTACAGTTCGGGATGGGGGCAGCACAGGCCATACGGCTCCCCATAGAGCGCATGTTGAATAATCATCAAGAGCAGGGCAACGGAGAGCTGGAGAGGTGCAGCAGCGGCAGCAGGTAAGAGTAGAAGGTGGACAGAGGAGAGAGTAGTAGAGGTGGGCGGGGGGTGCAGATCCGACGCATCGTGTCAAAGTCGCCATTTGGACGCGTCGCCCAGGCGAACGTTGCACTTGCGTTTCGCTGGCATGTAGCAAGTTGTTCGTGTGCTCGCCGCTAGATGGCGCTCAGCGCACGTGCAACATGCCACACACACACACACACACATGTACATGCAGTGAAATTCGTAAAATTTTGTTTCCGCTGATGAAGTATTCCCCAGCCGCAGGACAAGGATTATTGGACGTGTGGCAACGTTCGCAGTTGCAACGCAGCTCCAACTCCACTCTCGCCCTCTCCCTCTCTGTCTCTCTCTGCCTTTGGTTTATCCGCGGTATGCAAAGTGCGGCATAAAAGCACATCGTCAAAAACGTCGCTATTGGCGCCATCAAAGAAATGGCCGAAGCTGCGCTTAGAATGTTGCATGCCACACCATGCGAATCACCCTGTTGCTACTGCTGCTGCCGCCCAAAATTTCATTTTGTCATTAGAAACTAATAAAAAGCCAGCGGCAAATGCGTTTCCACGCCAGAGAGCTTTATGTTTTCCACTTGCAATTGGGTTTAGTAATTAGCTGATGGTTCTTTATGCGGATCTATAGTTGGCCTAATTACGCTTCGATACCAAATTGTGGGCGTGGGCGCGCCTGCTGTAAAGGTGGATTGTAAAAAGTTGAAGATCAAATTCAGTTTAGTTTTTATGGATTGTCAAAGTGTGAAAGAGTTTGATATTGAAAGGGCATATGAAAGGGGGGGAGCGAAAGAGACAAAGAATGATATGAATTAAGAGAGGTGTTAGAGATCGTATAAAGATTGTTTGATAGATTGCAGAATGGGCTGAAGGAGTATTCTACTGAAGAGCATATATAAAGCATATAGATATGTATATAAGAAATATATTTATAAAGTATGTAGATATGTATATAAGAAATATATTTATAAAGTAAACAAAAATGAGAAGAGATAAACAAGAATCACTTCTATATATAACTGAAATTTCTGTTTACTTTATTCAGCTAAGGAGTTTTTTCTTTTCTCAAAAAATGATTTATTTATTAATGATTAATAGTAATTCTGCTATTAATAACTAATTTTGTATTCTAACTAATTTTTAGCTTTACCAAATAAGTATAGACTATATATATTATATATACTACTATATCTGCTCCCACACATGTACATACCTTTGTTTCTTGGAGTCTATTTTACACTGCTGCCAATGTTTCTTGCTACCCTCGAAGCACTTCAACATGTTGTTATCTGAGATCTTGTTCACATCTTGTTCCTTCGTCTTTATCAGGTCACTTATTAACGTTCTTGGTGTTCCACTCTGTTTTGGCAATAAGAAGAAGCCACTAAGAGCTCCGTCTGGCTTATACGATGACTAAGGCATCATTATTGCCTTTTGTTTTGGCCAAAATTTAAGGCAGATGCTTAAATTCGTATTGCAATCGAAGACAAACCAAAACATATCCACTTGAATCATTGCCTAGAGAGCATGGAAAACTGAATAAGTTAGATAGATATAATACTCATATGATCCCCTTGTCATATCTCAGCCAGCTTAAATAAAATTTGTTCACATTCTTAGGCTTGACTCTAAGTCCTCTAGCAACAACTCATATTATTTTCCTCACTAATATCTCAAACATCTCTAACGCTCGCCATATCTTAACTCTTATTCAATAGCCAAATGAAACACCTTTACATATACATATATACCCTCCCGCTTCCACCCCTTCGCACTATAAAATTCATTCAAGACAAATATGCGCTGATTGTCTAAAAGAAGCCAAGCCAAAAATACCATAACTCAATGAAATCACGGCGTCTGCCAGACGGCTCAGCTGCGTCAGTCAGGCCAGAGTCCAGACAAAGGCGCGTCAAACGGTGCGTATGAGTAATGTGTGTGGCAAATGTTGCGCCAGGCATTCCACGTTTCGAAACGCAGACGGGTTCAAAGCCAACAAGAATTTGGTGCCCTCAGACAGAGGCGCAAAACACGTGCTAAGCCAACAGCTGTTCGGTGTGTGTGTGCGGGTGTGTGTGTGTGTGAGAGAGAGAGAGTTTCTGTTCAAAAATCAAAACAAAATTTGTGCGCTCAGCCAAGTGAAAGGCGGGCGCATGCGCAGCAGTTGGCCAAGATGCTCTTAAATGCTCTTAAAGCTGCAGGCGAAAGTGAGAGAGAGAGAGAGAGAGAGAGGAGGCAGAGGCAGAGGCAGAGTGGGGTCTAGCTGGGACATGGCAGTCTGATGCTATGCTTGGGCATGGAATTATGGCACCCAGGGGCATAGCATAATCAAAATTCCTTGCAACTGGGGACGTGGCATGCAGCTAGCGGCTGTGTGGAACGTGCCGCAGTTCAAAGCAGCTAGCTGCAGCAGCTGCAACAACAACAACAACAACAACAGCAGCAGCAACTAACTGCTACTTCTTCTTCTTCTTCTTCTTGTTTCATTTCTAGAAGATGCCGAGGACGAGCTGGAAGATGATTTGCTTAGCCTGAGCGGCGATGAGGACTACGACGATGATGAGGAATTGCAAAGCCTGGACAGTTTCTATTCGGGTAAGTGAGCAAACAAACAAACAGACAGAGATGTATACAAATATATATGTATATATGTATGTCTGTTTATGTTTATATATATATTTTGTCACATATCTGTGGCAGCTCCTCTTGGCTCCAGTGTTAACCTTGCCATAACCATTGAAATTGTCGTATGGGGTATTATATGACTGCCGGCGATGACACTCCTGGGTGCTCTACACCTGTGCCGCGGGTGTCGTTGCCATATGCCACACACACAAACACACACACACACACAGAGTGGGAGAGAGAGAGAGTGAGCGAGACTGAGACCGAACTGGGGCAGCCTAACTACGTTTTAAAAACCCCAAACAGCAATCAACACCAAGTCGGAGTCGCAGTCGCCACAGACAGAGCCAGAGCCACAGCCAGAGCTGGAGATGGAGCTGAGGCTAGAGCGAAAGCCACTTCACTTTCACCACATACATCCTCGTTGGCATTTACGAGCTGTCGAACGAGCGCTGCTGAGCCTGAGCCTGAGACAGCAACAACAGCATCTATAGCTGGCCCCTCACACTGGCCCCCGCCCGCCCTCCTCTCTCCCTGTTAGCTCTGCTTTGCCACATTTCTCTCTAGTGCCATTTCGTATGCTTTTTCCAGTGTTTATTTGCTTCGTTTGGCTCCTCCACTCGACTCTCGACCCTCACGCCTGCCACGCCTCTTTTTGAGCATGCCTCTTGTTTGGCATTTCCGTTTTTTTTCTTCTTCTGCACAATTTTCTTGTGCTTTTTGTTTTTACTCGAACGTCGCGTCCTGCTGCCGGCTGTCCATTTGCTAGCCAAGCACACACACACACACACACACACACACACACATGTACATGCATATACACACATGTAGACAGACTTCACTTGGCTCTGACTGCTTGAATAAGTCGACTGAGCTGGCGTTGGTTTAATGCCTTTATCGAGCTTACTTATGCTTGAGTACACTGAGCGAAATGAATGTGTAAGATGCGAGCAGAAAGGAGTTTTTGTTAGGAGAAATATTGAGTTATGTATTGAATGAATTACTTTTTATAAGGTACTACAATTATATTGCTTAAAAAAAAGAAGTAAATAATAGATTAGTTAGTTAGTTAATTAGTGTTTATTTACTTTAATCTGCTTTTCTTAAAAGATAATTGTTTTTATATATTTTTACAATTTGTATGCATATATTTAAAATTTATTTTTATATTTTTTTATTAATTTATTTTTATGTATATTATTTTATTATTAAATTTATTAAAATTAGTTTTATATATTATATTTATTTATATTTTATTATTATTATATATTTATTTTTATTTTTTAATTAATTAAATTATTATTATATATTCTTACTTGTTATATTTTATTTATTTTTTTATTTTTTATTATATTTTACATATTATATTAAACATTATTGTTTATTAATTTATTTTTATTTATGTTATGTTATTATTAAATTTATTAATAATAATATATTAGTTTTATATTAGATTTATTTATATTTTATTATTATATATTCATACTTGTTATATTTTATTTATTTATTTTATTATTATATATTATTATATATTATATTAAACATTATTGTTTATTAATTTATTTTTATTTATATTATTTTATTACTAAATTTATTAAAAATTTTTAAAATTATTTTTATTATATATTTGTTTATATTTTGTTATTATTACATATTTATTTTTATTTTTTAATTAAATTTAAATAAACTGTTGTTACTGTTTATTTATGTAAAATTAAATTTTATATATTTTATTCATTTATTTTTTATTATATTTTATTATTATTATATATTTATTTTTTAATTTTTTATTTATTTTCATATATTATTTATTTATTTATTCCTATACATATATAACAATGTATATATTTCTTTCGCTCAGTGCACACACTTAGTTAACCCACCACAGCACTCAACACTTGGCCAGTCGAAACGACTCCGGCCGCCCCTCGGCTCGAGACAGCCTTGTGCCCGGCTGCTTGGGCAGCTTTGATGGGCTTTGGGCAGCTGGCTGAGGAGCCGTTGTGTGTGGTTGGCTCCATGGAAATCTAGCTCTGTGGCTTCGTGTGCGCCACGACTATTTGGCAACAATTTTGAAACGTTTTACGGCTTGCGATGTGATTTGAGGAAATTGTGTTGCGGAATTTGTGCAGCTGATGCGGCTGCAGCGCCTAAATGTGTGCAATGAAATGCAATTAGTTGCAGCACAGTCAGACAGAGAGGGAAAGGGAGAGAAAGAATGGGAGAAAGAGAGAATGTATGTGAGGTTGGCTTACTTCTTTGTCTACGCTAAAAACTTGTACTCAAGTCATTTCATTTGTTTGGCTTTGCCTTGGACTTCCGGTCGGACGCAGAGCCTGTGTCCTTTTGATTTATTAATAGCACGTGTACGAGACGCAGGATACAGCGGCCCCAAACTAGTTTAAAAACTGACAAGCCAACAGAGAAGTGTAGGGGTAGAAGGGGAGGAGCGAGAAGGAGTTAGAACGAAGGTCGCTTTATTAAGACATGCTGTATGCAAATAGTTAGTTAGTTCCGTTTCAAGTTTCCTTTTGATGCGACGCAATTAATTACACATTTGTCTTACAAGACAAACACGACAAGCCCAGCCCAAAGAGTGCAAAAAGCAAGCGCCTCACATGTCCGCCTCGACTAAGACCATAAATAATTGCTGTTTGTCTCCAAAAAAAAAGAGAAGATATGAGAGAAGATGGGCAGAGAATAGAGCAGGGGATTTGTTTACTTCAATTTATCCCACAGCTCTGTGGACCAGTCCAATACCCTGTGTGCTACAGGGGTGGCGGTAGAGGTAATTCTGCTGGCTTGCTCTAGTGGTTGGTATATCACTATACTTATATTATCATCATATAAACACTATATACATACATATTATGTATATATTATATTATATTATTATATTATATTATATTATATTATATTATTTTTAATCTAATCAGTTTTAAAAGAGACTTCTGTAAAGGAGTTGACACTTAGAGAGTTATTATAGTACTTTTATTAAACTAAGTGGAGTTTTTTAGTTGTACCAATTTCAGTAAAGCAAAACTATTTACAAAAAATATTAAACCTAGTAGATATTTCTTAGTTCTAGGATCTCTAAGAATAATTTAAAGAAATCATGGAGTATACATTAGTTGATCAGACTTTACTTTTGGACATAATGCGTTCTAGCTTGTCATTATAAAAACCTCAAAAGTCAATTGGCAATGCCTATTTCAATAGGCAATGCCTATTGAAAACTTCAATTTTTAAAGGATATTTACTAGTCGAGCATGCCTAAAAACTAATTTTGCTTCATTGGCTTACTGTAGTTGCCTAAACAGAAATGTTTAGTGCTAATATTACGCATTCTAATATATACTGGGTATCTACTAGTCGAGCATGTGCTCAAGAAGCTCAGGTTTGCTGCAGTCATAGCCTCAAGTGTTAGTTAATATATATTAAGAATTATTTACCCATCGGTATCACAACATATACAGGGTATCTGCTTACCAGGCATGCTCGGAACAAGCTCACATTTTATTTGCATTTTACAACTCTAAAATTCCTGCCTAAAGTGCTCTATCAGTCATTCAAGAGTTCATTACAGGGTATCTGCTTGCTAGGCACACTCTGCAACAGTTCAAGAGAAAAGCATAATGTTCCCAATTCTGAGGCCTCTGAAGATTTGTGCTTAAAGTGGCGAAAAATTCTCACACTGCTCGCGGCTTCTCGAGCTGCTCGATGTCCGTTGCTTTCACAAGAAATGAACGCAAATTGCTTTAGATGTCAATCTCTGGTGGAAAACTGGTCACTAAAGCGGTTAGCAGCAGATGACATGGCACAGTTTAATGAACCACACACACACACACACACACACACACACACACACACACACACACACACACACACAGAGACTCAAAAGGGCCGAGATCACGTTTAAGCTAAAGATCTCTAACCAAAGTGCCGCACTTAATTGGGTCAACACGCAGCAAATGTGCTTCACAGTTAAACGCACTCTCTACAGATATATCTATCTCTGTCTGGCTATACGCAGTCTAACCCTTGGCAACAACGCCCTCCGTATTTCCATTGCTTGACTTCGTATTGCCCATAAATAATAACTGCCCAAAACAGCAACAACAAGTCCAAAACTAAAACGCAACTTTGCAATCTCAGGTGTACAAACGCCTTGACACCAAAGCTAAACAAGAGAAGCGAAAGAAAAAAACAACAACAAAAATCAGAAAAAAACGCTGAGAAAAGTTGTTCCACATAGACCAGTGTTGAAAAGCGCTCGAGAGTTGGTCTGGTGAGGGCTGAGGAGTGGCATAAGGTAGGGTTATCGCTGCACTTGGCACGCCCTGTCAGCTGCAGCGACTTACTTTTTACCAATTTCATATACCCTGCACAAAGAGGTGAGAGTGGGTATATTGCTGTGAAGGGTAATGAGCTAAAAGAGGTATCTGTTATTAAGGTTTGGATAAAATGGTTTAAGTTTAGTTATCTTTGCCTAGGAAATTACAGAGAAATAACTCAAAAATAAAATTTAGTCAGAGCAGCAAAGGCCTTCGGTTGACTTAGTACTGATTGTAATACCCTTTAATTAACAGCAATAGTTCAACATCTAAACTATTATATCATATATTTATTTGGCCAACTTCAAAAGAAAATACTCCTATTACAGGGTATTCATTAGTCGAGCACATCTTAAATTGAAACCGTCTTGGCTGTTGGACAGCAAGTTTTGCCTGCAGCAGCAAACAGATGCTGGACGCGCGAGACGCTGGCGCGCTGTCTGTTTCCCGCGAGTCCTGCGAGCGGCTGCCTGACCATGTCCTGGGAATCGCGCCAAAAAGGACTCGAGCTAAAGTTATGACACGCCCAGCGCTTTGTTTTGTTTGCTGTTTGTCTTCAGCTGGCTGTTGCCACCTTTTGCATGATTTATGTGCGTTAGGTGTTGCCTGGCCAAGTTTTCCGACGAAAGCCCACCC